CCCCCCCCGCGCCCTCGACATCGTGGATTTCTTCCGCAACTTCACGGTGGAGGTGGCCGGGGTGGGCGACATCTGCTCCTTCGCCCAGCTGGACGTGCGGCACCACGGCAACCCCCAGGTGGGGCTCGGGGGGGCTCGGGGGGACCCGGGGCGGGGGGAGGCCGGGGGTGGGAGGTCCCGCGGCAGGGGGACCCGTGTCGGGGTGTCCCGTGTCCCTATCTCTGCAGTGGGTGCCTGGGGGGCACACAGAGGACCCCCGTAGTGGGCGATTGGGGTGAGGGGGACCCGTGTCGGGGTGTGCCACGACCCTGTCCCCGCAGTGGCTGTCGGGGGGTCACACGGAGGCCCCCCCGGAGCGCCAAGCAGAGCACGGGAAGACGGAGCTGTCGCTGATGCGCTTCGCCCTGAGCAACCCGCGGTGGCGGCCGCCGCCGCCCGCCCGCCGCTTCCTCGGCCACCTGCACGCCCAGGTGACCCGCGACGCGGCCACCGCGCCACCCCCCCGGCCACTGCTGGCCGAGGGGCCGCTGGCCGCCTCCCTCCTGTCCGAGGACTCGGCCCTGGCGGTGAGTGGGGACGGTCTGGGGGGGCTGCGGGGTGTTTTGGGGTCCCCCCCCCTGACGCGTGTCCCCGCAGCCCGAGGGGTTGGTGGCCAGTGTCCTGATGGCCAGCGGGCTGGTGGCCCGGGACCCGCGCTTCGGGCAGCCCTGCAGCACGGCCAGCGCCACCGCCAGCCTGCTGGCGTCCCTGCGGACCCCGCTGGGGACCCCCCCGGGCACACCCCTGCCCGGGCAGGGGCGCGGAGTCCCCGACAGCTCCGGAGAGCGCCTGAGCCCCGAGGAGAGGTGGGGAGGGGGCTTTGGGGAGGAGTGTAGGCGGCAGGGAGGGGTGTCACGGTGGGGAGGGGGTGTCACGGAGGGCGAGAGTGTTGTGATGAGGAGGGGGCATCACAGGGGAGAAGGAGGCATCAAGAAGGGGGTGTCAGGGCAGGGAGGGTGTGTCGTGGTGGGGACGGGGGGTGGTGGCGGAAAGGGGTGCCATGACAAGGA